CAATAAAAAGTATGTTTGGACGTCACGCTAAATAATACTTTGCTTAAAAAAAGACATCCCAAAAATATAAAGCCTTATAATTTTATAGAAAATCAAATTTAGATTAATTGTATCGTTTGACCCGAAATTAATTGCTGAAATAAATCATCTTGATGACAACGCAATTCGATATTTGACGGTAGTGGTATTTTTTAATCGATAAGCAATGACTAGGTTATTTTTTTTAGTAGTATAAAATGTAACGTATGTTTACCAGGTACACACGTCAATTGTTATAAGAGTCATTAGTCTAATTAAAAAATATAATACTACCGTTAGCGTTCTCAAAACAAAACTATCGAATGATTAGAAATAAAATCGTATTATTACTATATTATTTCCTTAATGATTAGACCAGAATGTCTGGTACTCATATGTCTTACTTGAATGGTGTTCGATGTGGTTTAGCCGGTAAACTCTTTCATTAGACATTTTAACGAGTTTGCAAAAATTAACCTTACCAAAACGAAATCTTAAACGTCTTGCGTTTGCAATAGTTATACCATGTTTATTTATAAAAAGAAAAAAATATATCTTTGGTTTTGAGAAAATTGCTATCACATCGGAGACGGGCTAAATTTGTTTGTCATTTAATCGTCTCCGATCGATCAATTGACAAATAATTCATTGAAGTTTAAACGACGTTATGGCATATAGTACAATTGCAAAAACTAGGTAACCGATAATTTATTCGGCTAACAATGTAAAGACAAGACATATTGTATCCGTACTTCAGAGCAAAAGTGTATGAAGTCAACGATTTTCCGGTTTCTCCGTTCGCCTAGATTTAAATTTCGCGCTCTGTGCATAATTTATAGTTGTATAATAATTTATACTTTTGTACTGATGTACGGATATAGGAAACATTGTGTGATTGTTTTTTGTATTTTATATAAATAATACTCTGCGCGTCTCAATAGCACAAAACATTGTACTGTAAACACACAAGATCGTGATGTCATATTTTTATATGCCACGCTACCTATATTATGTTGTTTGGTATTCATTACATAAAATTGTGAACGATAATGACCTTGATATTGGAGTGAAATGGTAACATTGCCAAAGCCCATATAATCCGCATGTGTGTATTGGATTACATAAAATTATTTTTGCGCAATAAACTACCTACCTACTTAGATTTTGCCGCAGGATTATTGTGCGGTTCTGACCGGTTATTATCCGTTCACCGTTAACAGTACACCGATAAATCGTAATAAATTTGGATGCACTCGAAATGTAGTTATTAACTGTACGTATAATGATAGGTTTTCAATTTTCAACGCTCTATAATCTATAATATTATTAGGGTTGAATCAGAACAGTATAACGATGTTACATTTGCATTTCGTAAATGCCTGCGCAATGCATGCATGATCCAGTAATTTTCTAATTTTTATTATTAAAACGTTCGTGTATAGTATCGAATAAAATAGAACAAATTATCGGTTTATAATTATTTGTTTCGCATGATTAGTTGACTTAGAATATCGTACAAAACCATTGAATTGTTTTAGTTCATTTTATTTAACCTAAAATCTAATTTGTTTTATCTGTACATAGCTGCTAATAAATTGGGTTGAAAACTGTTGAACGGTGATCATAATTTATTATCTTCAGATTTAAATAAAGGACTATAGCGTCTTATGGAAAACTTCATAGTTCTTTGACGGTATTTTTGCAATTATTCTATAAAATTAAACACCCACATAATATAAATGCATTTAATATTTTATTGATATAATAAAAACTAAAAGGTTTATGGCCCCAAGCTGACATAATAACACTAGTAAAACGTTTTAGCATAAAAATATGATTACTACTTACTGTGATTTTTTTTTAAAGCTTTTTAAAAATACATTTCTCAAAACACATAAAAAAATCATTCATCTTCAATGGTTTATACTACTTAACCGCATAGGTAATGAGTATCTATAATTTTTCCATTACGTGTACTCAATAGGTAGGCAAATATAATTAAAAACATGTTTATGTCATGTTTATTATCTTAAAGATAGCAAACATATCGATAAGATTAACTTACACGACCAACTAGTGTGTTATATACACGTTCTAAATACATATTTACTTTTAATCAACGCAGCAAACAAGTCGAAAATTTTAATTTCGTTTGACCAGTGGGATGCAAGGTTAATTTATTTTAAATGTCTATTATATATGTGCAATACTATGACAGATCAAATAAGAAGGTTATCCACTACTTTTTAGTGTAGATATTGATAAAAAAAAAACAAATGCACATAGATGGTATTTTACTTGAAAAATACATAAAATTCAAAATAACATTCACGGTTTGTAAGAATTGCTTTTCTCAATGATACTATTACTTAATACCAACAGTTCGCCCTATTCGCCAGTGACCTTTCTCTTTAATAATAATCATGTTTCTGAAAATAAATGTGCATTAAGTGCGTTCGACGGGTTATCAAAACTTGATAGTATAGTTGTATTAGTTGTAATCACGAACTTATTATATATATACATAATTAAAACAAAATAAAGGTATATTATTATGTTCACTTCGCATAATATTAAGTATCGGAAATAGAACAATTGAAAATTACAACGCCTGTCGTAATACTCTATGTAATTCAAACTATTTAATTTTGACTTTATATCATGGCCATTCGATTTACTTCTCTGGTTGACTAAATTCCTATACTTTTGCCTATTATTACATTTACTACTTCTACTGTTCATACTGTTCCGTACTGTTGTACTTCTTCATTAAGTTTCACTTTTCACAGAAAACACATTACAACAAGACACGAAATACACAATGCTTTTAGATTTTTGTCGCTGAATTTGATTCTGGCCTCAGATTTTCTTTAGCATAGTTACATTTTCAATTACTTCCAAAGTTGTAAGAAAAAACCTATTTTGTGGTATTTTAGCGTACTTTGTACTGTTGAATAGTTTTCTTAAATTGGAGTTTTTTTATTCTATTTAAGTTCCTTGTTGAATTAATTACAGAAAAAGATAAAATTCTGATTTGTGTTTTGTAAGTTACTCACAACTTTGAAGTAGATTTAAAATATTCTACGGGCAGGTACGGATTCGGCTATTAAAAGCCTATGAAATGTGCACATTTCTGATTTTGTTCCAAATATAAAAAGAGATTTTGTCTAACAAAATGTGTTATATGATCGATGAAGATTTAAGTACAAGGTATTTATTTATGTAATAATAATATTAAAATACGAAAACAACAATAAAAAGTACATAACAATATGTATAATATATTATTTTGATTTACTCTATATCTGGTTCATTTGTTCTTTAGCACTTCAATTTATTGAAATGGCTTCAAAAGTTGTCAGAAAACTTACAAAACAAAACTAAGCATTTTCTAATTTTACAACTTTTGAGTTGATTAAAAAAAATAACTACACGCTCAAAGTCCTATAGAAAATTTGAGGCCAAATACGGATTCAAAAAAAAAAAAAAATTAGATACCAAAAAACAACTTTTGCTGTGCAGTGTAACTAACCATTCGTTTATTTTTTAATTACCATTTGGTTTTTTCATTTGATTACTTGACTTGCGTGAGCGCTCCCTAAACAATGTTCTGCAGGTGTCAAAGGAACTTTATAAGGTTATTTTTAAAATAATGTCACCAAAGTAGCGATTTTACTCTGTGGTGTTCTTGTTTATAGAACTGCGGTTTTGAACAAATATATAACTATATAACCTTGGAGAAAAGTGAAATTGTACACACAACATGATAGGTATACTCAATATATTATAAGTGTGTGTGCTTATAATAATATTTGACCACAATGTAGTTAGTCAGTGAAACTCCCGAAGAAATGCTTAGTCACTTTAAAATTGAGATCAATTGTCAGATCAACGCGAGTTTCCTAAGACTTCTACGGTCAACCACGCGGCTGACGGATTACAACATAATGTGAATGAAGTATACAAAAACAATAAGAATTTTTTAAAAATCACAGAAGTAGGTAAGCTGAAAATGTCTATAAGAATGATATAATACAAAATTTGCAATAGAAACTGGGTAAATAATATAGTAGTATTGTTTTGTTTTTTACTATTATGTGCCGCCAAACGGGCAATTTACACGTAATGCCCCAAGTTGGCCCGTTTGGCGGTACTAGACTATTTATTTTTGGTTCTTTTATTTAACGAAAATTTAACGAAAAATATCCATCTTGGACCATTCTACTTTATTTTTATTTACTTTAATAATATAGTGTTATCTCGCCGTATCGAAAATAGGTCACAAGATACGCCATTGGTTCCTAAAAATATTTGTGAAATTTGACTGAAACTTAATGAATTAAATTAACAAATAATAGATGACTTTATCAAAGAAAGTTTGTAATAGATTACATTAAGGATTTTGCATTGGACTTCCGAAATCTACTAAAAATCTTATTTTTTCTTTGTACATCCAACCATAATATGGTAATTGCATTTCCTTTTTATCATCGCATCATTTGGTGAATTTACATATATTTCTTTATTGCACATTAATTAATTATTGTAAATAACTAATTAATTTGTTTTAACACTTAACACTCAATGGTTATTAAACCTGCGTTTTATGTCACTTTGGTAACCCATTATTTCTAATGAGTTTTCATTTTGTTATACATAATACACGGTGTTAGTGGCGTCAATGAGTCTAAATATTAAACAGCTGTCTATCCTCAAACTTGTTTAATACCTTTTTTTAACTACATTAGTTAAAAAGGTATTGAATAAAATGGTACAACATCTTATAATCTTTTTTAATCTTGCACAACTTATAACTAATTAGCTTTCGAAATCAATTACTTAATTCGATTATACTTAAGCAATTGGTGGCGGAGGGCGGGGAGGGCGTTCGATTTCCAGTCCGAACAAGTTCTATTCGGGTACCGATTTTGTACATGGAGTTATTTAAAACAGATTTTTAGCTGTAGGAAACTGACGCTCACCTATGGTGCAGAACGGTCTTCTCATCTGTTGCTGGGAAGCGTTCGACGAACCGTCTCTGGACGTGGTGGACGACGTCTCCGTGCTCGAAGCGCCTCCTGTGCTGTGCCCTTCCAGACAAGGCCATTTCACGTCCACATCTTTGGCGTCGTCCAACCCGTTTTCGTTGACCAAAGTGGCCGAGGTCAGGCTCAGAGAGGCTATATTGGCCTTGTAGTACTTTCGCGGTTTTTGGTTTTGCATGTCCGGGTGGTCCGTCCGCCGCCTGATGATCTACACACAGCCGTGTTAATATCCCTTTTCGAAAACCGTGCGGGTGCCGTCGAACGCCACGGCAGAGATAACTGATTGACGTCCGTTGAACTCCTCGATCGGTACGGTGACAATATGATAAAATCTACTTTTATCGGCGTACAGGCTCACACGGGTCTACTATATATGTATATATCAGCGGCTATATCTCCGTACCATTGCGTCACACGGTAACTCTGCGAAAACGAATAAAACGCATTTTCATTAAGTATAAGTCGAATGACAATATTTTTTTTTTTTTTTTATGACTGGATAATTATTGTTGTGCGCGTGGACGACAACGTCGGCCGCCACAACGGTTCACCGTAATGTCCATTTTATATTACAAGGCGAACCGCAAGGAACATAATAATAATATTACTTTCGTTCATTACACGCCGCGTACCTATGTTATACCTTCGCAAATAGTAGCGTCAGTTTTATATAATAATATTATAAAATACAAAACGAAAATGCAATACTGTTCGTTTAAATCAACACGAGACGTGAACTTGCGGAGACAAATATTTTAAAAGAAACAATTAATCACCCCGCGGGTTAAGTCGTACGCAACAGATCGGCCACATACCTAAGTAATATTGACAATAGTTTAAAAACAAAACAAAAACGGTTTATTGATTTTATATGGTATGTGTTTGGTAAGAAGCAATCAGACACGGCGTGTCCCAAAACTTCTCAGTCGGTCGGTGACTTTAACGCTATGCGCCGTATGTCGTCTTGGACAGTTTATTTTGGGCGGTTCTTGGGATAATAAATAATAACTTAAAGAAAAATCCGCGCAAAAATTACAGGTAAATTTATTACGGTTACTACACGCGTTTGTATCGTTTTAAAATGAAGTAACAAAATCAAACGTATCCGAGGTCCAACGCGCCGTGTTTCATAATATTATTTTAGATCACAGTTAGTTTACTATTAGATAAATCGAATGTTTTAGACTTTTAGTTTTAACACGAAAAATGACTTAAACAATCATCATTTGAAACATCAAATTTAATAGTGTACGCGGTTCCTTAATGTCAAACAACTCTGTAAAGTATTCTCCAAAACACGTTCGTTTTTAACTGTTCGACACATTCACCGGAATCGCTAAAAAACATAATATTACACGTCTGATTTTTAAGAACCGGTTCATACTGAAATTAAATATTATTAATCTTAAACGACAAATATCTCTATAAAATAATAATAATAAAAAACAAATCATAACCCAATTATAGTATTTAACCTACATTATATTACTTACAAATTTTATTTTTCACGAGTTAAACAGATTATGGTTACCCCATTTAATAAAATAAAATATTATCAATTAAAATGTTTAAGTAAAACACTAAACTCGTATCGACGAAAATGTTATTGATAGTAAGGCGATCGTTTAAAATGTATCGAAAACAATAATTTGTACCAAAAATAAAATATTAAACAATTCTGTTCTTATTTAAATCTAGATGTGCAACAGGCAGGCAAATGCGTGGTCAGTTATTGTATTATTATTAGTTTGCATTCGACGTGTACGCTCAGGTCATATAAAATAACAATCAGTAAGTATCTTAAAGATAAAAGTAAAGTAAAAATTGGAACTCACTGTTTGAAAGGTTTAAATACTCCTTTGCGAAAACCGCCGAATCAGTGTATATCTATTGTCAGTTAAGCAAAACAAAAATCAAAGTGACAATATTTTTATAAAAACATAACAACTCTGCAGAAAAACGTCGATCCGGGTCTGTCGTGGTTTTTGCGTACAAGCTAATACAACACAACACTGCAAACGGTAACAAAATTATTTTGTCAGGACGGCAGGACAGATAGTGCCAACGGGCACCGAACAATGACTGTCTGGTGTCGGTGGTCCGTTTGCCGGACTCTCGGATCCTCTCAATTACTCACGGCCACCGAGGAGCTCCCTTTCCCTTGGCGTAGTCAAATTGCATACGCTGGTCCCCGTGTAAACTACAACTACACCGCACTCTTATAATACGTTATATTATACCATTATTTGTTATTACTACTTTTATATTATGCTGTGCACACAACATTAGACAGTAATAAAATAATATGTAATATTTAATTAGTGTGAAGTGTTTATTTTTCAACGTGACGACTACATACTAGGTAGTAATAGTAACCATATTATAGAAGGCACCGAAATAATAAGTTTTCAAGCTTTTCTGGTTTAGAATTAAAAACGAAAAAATATTGAAAACATAATATTTAAAAGTTATAGCATCAACTATGAAGTTTGGTGCTTAGTAATTTGAAAACAAAGAAAACATTGTAAAAAATAATGTTATCTGATAAAGTAAATTTATACCATCAAAGTTCTAAATTTTAGTAGTTAGTCTATCAAAGTGTAAAGCTAAACATGGTTAGCAAGTTCATGTTTACTGTTTTCTTTCCATAAGATTAAATAAAATAAAATACAATTTTTCTGAATATTTTAAAAAGCTTCTTCAGAGTGCTATTATTGAAAACGAATAAAACAGCGCCTCAAGAACAACAATTAAAATATAAATATCCAGTAACCCTTTATACTTTTACAATATTTATATCATTCATAAAACCTACAAATCTTGAGAAAATTAAATTTAATATGTATATTTTTGATATTATAGTTTACTTAATTAATTCTCGATAAATATTGTAAATGTTGAAATTTAAACAGAATTAAACAAGCTTGCTCAAAAAAGATAAAAATCATTACAATTTTAATTATTTGTAAAAAAAAAAAGTAAGACAAAAATTGATGAAATCTTTACTTTATTAATAACAATAAATAACTGATGACGAGATTGTTTAAGAAGAAAACCAACGTTGTTTGTTCCAAGTACTGTTATCTAATTATTATAAAACATAGCTTTACATTTAACATTAAATCTTATTTATAACATTATTAATATGTTCTCAATTTCTCATTAAAAAAAACCTGTGTAATTGTTTGTTTTTGATCGCGGTGGTTAACTTTTTTCTGAACCACTTTAACATAATACAATTCAACTAAATGGTTTATACATAAATTAACAATAAACTAATTATTCTCATTGCCATGAAATTTAGTGGGTAGTTGTCTATCTTATATATTATATTGTAACAATAATAATAATAGGCAATAGCTTAATGACGCATTCATTAAAACGTGAATAGTATTAATTGTTATTAGTTATCTAGCAATAATATTGCAGCTAATACTTGACGAGTTCAGTATAATATAGGCATGCATCTAATATGAGCGCATATCTGATTGTATGTGATCCCACATCTAATGTAATATAAAAGAATAAGTCAAATACAGTTTATTTGAACTTTATGGAAGTTGGAAAAATCAGTTTTATTTGAACTAGAATTCTAGTACTACAGTTGTGATCCGTCTAACGGTTTATTTTACACTTAAACCATGATGTTAGTAAATTCGTCTGCACATGACCGGTTATTCGAAGGCTACTCACATAGTATAATCATTAGTTCCAATCTCATTTCGTAACTTCTAGTGTTTTATTTCTGTGTATACTATTTGTATAAATATCTCATAACAGCCAAGTACACAACAGAAAATTGGTTTTAACCGCTATTATTAACTGATTATTTTTACTTAACTAAATTTTATTTCACATAAACATTTTTTTTTTTTTGTAACCTACAAAATCGGCGAGGAGTGTCGTTGGAGAAGGATTTTTAAAAGTGTGAGGCTTTAATGAATGACTCAACTGAGGATTAGCTAATTCCCTCCCCCCACCCCCTCGGTGATTTCGAAGAGAGGGTGAATATTAGAGAAATGAAATACTTTAATATAGTCTTCAAGACTTGCTATAATGCATTAGGCTCTCTTCCATGGTCATACGCTTTAGTTAGTTCATGACTCATGCTTACTACTATTTTTTCAATATAACTTATTAACAGTATTAACCTTGTTGTCGCTATAATAAACATTATTTATTATTAACTGCTAAGGATTTATTTTTTATTGCTTAAAGTATATTTTGATAAAAAAAAAAATCGCCATCGTATGTATTTTATATACACGTCTTAACAACCTAAACATTAGGCAGGCTTGTGATTTACATAATAAGCTCAATAACATATCGGTAAACGATTTGATTTATTAAATTATCTCGTATTAACCACCCGGAGACATTTTAAATTAATGATTGTCAGTGTTCTTTGTTAGTTAATTTCAAGATAATAATATTATATGCAATAAACATACACGATTACGATTTGTTAAGTATAAAATTGGCCATTCCATTAAGAACCAACACACAAAAAATAACTAATAAACTCCTAAAATTGGTTAACTTACACTGTTAAAATGTCGAGGCGGGCCAATTTTTAAACATAAATAAATAATACATTTATGTTAGGTAATTAAAATATAGAACAATAATTTTTCTTTGGATAGGTTTCTTTTTAAAAATAGGTATCTAAATATTTTTTCGAAATGTGAGTAATACATCCGAAATGGTCCAAATATAATTATAAACGTATGTAGCAATGTTACTTCCAAAGATGATTTTTATTTTTTAGTCAAGTGTACTGAAACTAAGTCAACTTTTTCAAGGGTTTGAATCACCTGAAATGGTTTGAAATAATATTTTTGTTATAAATGAATGTTTAACAACATTTTAATTTGTATAAAACTAATTTTTTCTAAATTACATATATTTGAGTTAATAACATATCAAAATTTAAATTATTCTTTTACTTTTTAAGAGAAAAATGATTTGTAGTATGTTTACATATTATTTAATTACAGGTTATTTTTTTTAATTTTACACACATTTTTATTTTAATTTATGATATTTTTTATTTCTTATATACGTTATTATAAATGCATATCTCACGCATTAATTAACAAGCTAAAATAGTTGATAATAAAAATTAAAGTAAAGTAAATTGTATTGAACATTATTTTTGTGTTTATGAGTTGAGATAGCAACCATGAAAATTGAATGTGATCTTTGAGGACTCTATGGCGTTTTTTTATCCTTGATGAATTAATAAATAGGCTTTTTAAGGACCACCCTAATAGTTATATACATAAAAAAAAACCATTAACATTTTGTTTGTCATGATTTTCGTCGATTGCCATTACAATACATAGACATAGTAATCATCGAGTAATGAAATTACTCGATCAGTCATTTATTAGATTTAAGATACATATATTTTATTTCAAATTTCAACCACCACGAAGAAAATAAATTTATAAAAAACAGGTTCTTTCTTTGTAAATGTCATGTGGACAACTTGAATACAAATATAATTATTAGAAGGATTTAAACTGAAGTTAGTGTATGGAAAAAATCATACTTGACTACTAAAGCTATACGTAGTCAAGTATGATTTAAAAAAAAAAAATTTTAATTTCAATTTTAACCTGTGCCCCAAAATAGTTCAAGTTTAAATGGGATTTAACATAGGATTTCGACACTTGTGCACAAATCAATGCATAACGTTTTTCCCATTCCTTAGTTTGAGCTGAAATTTTGACAGTTTTATAGCTTGAAGTCTTCCGAACACGAACACCATACCCAAAAGTTCACACCTTTCAAAATTGATGCCAGAAAAGGAAAATTTAACAAAAAATTGGCGTTTTTAGGTACTTTTTTAGGTAATTTTCAAACCTAGAGAATGTCCCAATCACCGGGTAATCCCCAGAAAATATGGTGGGGACGGCAGATGACGTTATGTGATGAAAAATATTCGTTTTCTAGGATTGAATTTAAACTTATTACAACACTGTTAACTTTATTTTGAATATCGTGTTATTGACCTAGTTGAGTTTATTAATTTTTATACTATATTACCAAACATTATGATACACTGAACTCAAATACTATGTTTGTGAGCAAAGCGACATCCCTCAGGTACATTAAGTACAATGTTATCGGAAAAAGGTACCAAAAAACGCCTATATTTTGTTAAATATTCCTTTTCTGGTATCAATTTTGACAGGTATGAACTTTTGGGTATGGTGTTCGTGTTTGGAAAATTTCAAGCTATAAAACCGTCAACATTTCAGCTCAAACTAAGGAATAGAAAAAAAGTTATGCATTGGTTTGTGCACAAGTGTCAAAATCCTATGTTAAATCCCATTTAAACTCCAACCCTTTTGGGGCACGGGTTAAAATTAAAATTAAAAATTTTTTTTTTTTAATCTTATTTTTATTGTATTTAGAAACTTTTTAGAGGGTGTCGAGGTTAAAATTCGAAAATCGACTTTTTAAGGATTACCCAATAACTTTTTAATCTTTTTAAGTTTACTTAAATTTGGGTCTAACATCAGCGTTTGTTGCTTATCTTTCCATTTTAAATAAGATACAGCTTTTAAACAAACAATCATATTGTTATTGTCCAGTATAAAACTTTTCTACCAAAAAAAATCATAAAAAATATAAAACGTAAACAAAAAACTTGAAGTATTTAAATTTTTAGTTTATATAGGACAGTTATAATTAATTCCTCAAACGGTGACAGGTATTAGATACCAATATAAATAATATAATGTATCATTTTTTTAGTAAACTTGTTTCCCTTGAGTTTAGCATTATTATTATTATAATTACAGCTTATTAGACACTAAAATTCTTCAGAATACAAGTTTATGTGAGGTTCGAGATGGTACATTTAAGAGTGTACATAAAATTTTAATATGCTTATGTTTATTGCTAGTGTTAAAAACTCGTTATGATTAATTAACTTTTGATTATTTATAATAATTATGACAATGATTTTATTACAATATATTATTTATATTTTATAATTACACTCAATAACTAATTTATTAGATGGTTGATATTTATATAATATATTCAAGAAACATAAAAATTATAATTTAACGACCAA